TTAATTTTTATATTTTTTAATATAAATCTATGACATGTGGTATGGTACGAGTCATGGAAACCGGGAGCTGATTTGGCATCTTCAAGGACCGCCATGTGCCAAAGATATATTCCGCTTTCTCTGAAAGACGACCAAGGCCACAAGTATAAAGCAAGTCAATAAATTGCCGCCACTAGCCAGTCAATAACGAGTCTTCGGCCCTGACTCACCTTGCCGCGTATATATAATACAACTCTATCTCTGCTTATTAAAACATAAAAACACAAGATTCAGGGCAAAAAATTATGCAGATAAAATTGTTGTTGCGCATGGTGGTGATGATGGTCATATTGCCATCTTCTACCGTTACAGCAAGTTCAAATATTTCTTTAGAAAACTGCCAACAAAAATGTGGAAACGTTATCGTTCCTTTCCCTTTTGGATTTGGCCGTCCTGAATGCGCCAAAAACTCAGCCTTCCTGCTTGAATGCAACCAGAGCAGCAGCCTCTTGTATGGCGACACTCCAATTAACAACATATCATTGGAAAACGGTACCATCACCGGACTCATTGACTCTGCCTACCAGTGCAACGACGGTTCCCGGAACGGTCGTTCGCCGACAAAGATATCGCGGAGCGTCATATCCAAACGATGGTCTTTCATCATATCCCCCACCCACAACAAGCTTGTTGGCTTGGGCTGCGACACGTTGGCCATGATGACCGACAGAGAAGGAAGGGTCAAAAGTGCGTGCATCACCTTCTGCATTGACAGTGCCGATCTCAGGAACTACGGTTCTTGCTCCGGTTTCGGATGCTGCCAGACCCCCATCCCCAAGGACCTCAACCAATTGAACATTACGGTTATTAGTAGATATGTGGACGCATATGGTTCGGATTTCAGCCCCTGCAGTTATGCTTTTGTGGTTGCAAATTCCTTTGATATATCGACAATAAACCTCCTTGGTTATCGGGAAACTGCTCCAATGTGGCCTGTGGTGTTTGAATGGGTGATTGGAGATCACCAAGGCTGCCAACATTATTGCGGCCTTTATGCTGAATGCTCTTACTCCCACACTGGCGGTGGATTTCGTTGTTCGTGCAAGCAAGGGTTCATCGGAAATCCCTATCTCCCCCAAGGCTGTCAAGGCACATATTTACAACTAACGTTTTTTTATGCATATACTATCCTGTTTAATTTTAATAACTCTATTATTTTTTTAATAAAACAGAAATATAATAATTTATTAAGAAAAGATTTTATATTTATTTTTAATTTAATAAAACAGAAATATAATAATTTATTAAGAAAAGATTTTATATTTATTTTTAATTAAATATTGTTTAAATAAAATTTTTTAAAATTTATATTGATATTATTTTATTTAATTTATTTTAAATAAAAAAATCTAAATTAAAGAATTAAAAAAAAAAGGGAACTGTCAGCAATTAGATTTTTTTTTTGACAAGAGTAATGGTTAGAAAGTTAGTAGGAATTAGTTGTTAATAACTGCTCTTCAGACCAGATGAACATTTTACCCTCTCAAATGAGGCGTGCGATCATGAGTCGCTTTTTGGTGAAGTTCACAACAGTAATGAAGTTCAAAACTCCGACCACCTCACCCAAATATTTAAGTGTTGAAATTAAACCATTAAGTCTAAAGTTCTGGTTGTGTCAGCCATTAGATTATTTAAGCATGAAATAGAAATAGGACACTGCTTGACGTGTTGTCAGGCGTGGTGCCCATGCACCTTTTGAAAAATAATTTTAAAATAAAAAAGTACAAAAGAAAGACAACAGTCTCTTTAAAAATTTAGTTTTTATTTTATTTT